AACCTGGTGCATCAAAATATACAAGGTATGTTAGGCAAAGAATTAGAAATTGATTTATTTTTAAATAGTAACAGTATAAATATTTTATGTATTACAGAACATTGGTTGAAAGAATACAACTCCATATTTAATTTCAGTAATCACCAGGTGGTCAGTTCGTTCAATAGAGATACTAAATTACGTGGTGGCTCCTTAATATTAGCTAATAAGTCCTTATCATGTAAAGAACGTAAAGACATTGTGAGCCTCTCTGTTGAGCGTACTGTAGAAATGGCATGTGTTGAGCTTGAGCACCTTATTGTTGTCAGTGTTTACAGACCCCCATGTTCAAGTTATGATACTTTTGAAAAAATTATGGAAGAAGTTTTAGTTAAGCTTAATAAACAGAATAAATCTCTTGTAGTGTGTGGAGACTTTAATATCAATCTCCTGGAAACTTCTTCCATCAGTATTAAATTCTGTTCTTTGTTCAAATCCTATAATCTTAATAATTTATTCTTTGAAGCTACACGTATTGCAGGGTGTAGTGCAACTTGTATTGATAATATTTTTACAGGTGTTGTACCAATCAACAAATCAATAATACAAAAACTTAGTTCAGATCACTGTGGACAACTGGTTTCGTTACCTTATATGCACAAAAAACAGGTAAATGAGAAAATTGTGTTTGTTCCTATTAATGCAAAACGCCTGGAGAGATTTAGAAGTAATATGTTAAAAATCCTTCCATCCCTTTCTTATAAGAACAATGCAGACTATTTATATAGAGAATTATTTACCTTTATAAACAATGAATTTAATAAAACATTCACTTCTAAAACATTCTCCAGAAACAGTCGCAAGGCATTTAATGAGTGGGCGACAGTAGGAATTCATAAAAGCAGACGAAGGTTATATGACCTTTACCATGAAAGATCGTATAATCTTTCCGATGCTTTTAAAGAATATGTAAAAAATTATTCTAAAATGTTTAAAAGAGTTTGCTCCACAGCCAAATCATTACATATTAGTAACAAAATTAAGACAGCTAAGAATAAAATTAAAATGACGTGGAGTATAATTAACAGCGAAACCGGTAAAGAGAAACCTCGTAATTCAAACTATCAATTAAAAATTAATAATGAATTGACTAAATCAAATCAAGAAGTTGCAGCGGTGTTTGAGAAATATTTCACTGATGTTCCTATCTTGACAACAGAGTCATTGAATGCTTCTCCAACTGTCGCCGAATCATTACTTAAACAGAATGTTAATACCTGTTTAAAAGAATTTAGATTTGAAAAAGTATTACCGCATAATATTGTAAAATACTTCAAAACCATTGATGTAAAGAAAACCGCAGATTTGTGGGGGATTTCCGTTACAGTGATTGCGTCCATAATAGATTTAATTGCACCTCATCTTGCTATTATTTTTAATACTTGTATCGATTCTGGTGTATTTCCTGATTTAATGAAGTATAGTAAAGTAATACCTTTATTTAAATCTGGTAGTAATAATGTACTCTCCAGACCGAATTTCGGTCACGGCGGCCAGTCTCAACGGAGACTAACCAACGGCGCAGAACAGGATTATAGTGCCCAAGTGTATGCGCAAGCACAGGTGCACTCTCTATTCCCTCACTCTCATAGCCCGATGGGACGGTAAACCGACACGACCGGAGAGAGATCAGGCGCAGGACCAACGGCTTAACGTGCTTTCCGAGGCACGGGGGTGAGACACCGCCAACTTCCTGACTCCGGGCAGGTACTGAGAATTTCTTGATAGAAAAACTCAATAACTGATTTTTTTTGGCCCGACCCGGGATTCGAACCCGGGACCTCATGATCAGCAGTCGCACTACTACAACCACTAGACCAACGAGGCAGTCAAATTAAAAATCTGGTAGTACATTGGACCCCGCTAATTATAGACCTATTTCTGTACTACCAACTCTCAGTAAAATTTTTGAAAAAATAATTTTGGATCAATTGTTAATTTTTTTTTAATACAAATAAATTACTTCATAAAAATCAATTTGGTTTTACAAGGGGTCGCTCGACGTCTGACGCCGGTGTTGAGCTTATGAAATATATTTTTAATGCCTGGAAGAATTCACAAGATGCCTTAGGTATTTTCTGTGACCTTTCCAAGGCTTTCGATTGTGTTCATCATGATACATTAATCAGGAAACTACAACATTACGGTGTAAAAAATTTGGCGCTTAAACTTATTACTTCATATTTAAGTAACAGAACTCAAAAAGTCGTCATTAATGGTAAATGTTCCTCCGGATCAGTAGTATCAATGGGCGTTTCTCAGGGCTCGATTCTTGGCCCATTCCTGTTCTTAATCTATATTAATGACTTACCTTATCTTGTAGGGGACAATCACGATATAGTATTATTTGCTGACGATACCTCTTTAATTTTCAAACTGAAACGGCAGTCAATTAAATATGACGATGTAAATAATGCTCTATCGAAACTAGTACATTGGTTTAACGCCAACAATTTGCTCTTAAACGGCAATAAGACAAAATGTATTAAATTTACAATACCTAATGTAAAACATTCGAAAACCAATGTGCTCTTAAATGGGGACGAGTTGAGTCTTGTGGATACCACTGTTTTTCTCGGTATTACTATTGACGCGAAACTTCAATGGGGCCCCCATATATCTAAATTAGCAAGCAGACTTAGTTCTGCAGCATATGCTGTAAGAAAGATTAGAAGTCTCACAGATGTTGAGACAGCTAGGTTAGTGTATTTTAGTTACTTTCATAGCGTAATGTCTTATGGAATTTTACTATGGGGTAATGCGACTGATATTGAAGCTATATTTGTTTTGCAAAAGAGAGCCGTACGGGCGATTTATAATCTAAATTGTAAAGAGTCCCTTAGAGAAAAATTTAAAGAAATAAACATATTAACTTTGGCATCGCAATATATTTATGAAAATGTAATGTATGTACATAAAAACATAAATAGCTTTAATAAGAATAAGGATGTTCATACCTTAAACACTAGGAACAAACATAAGCTTGTAATGCCACTTACAAGACTCCACAGAATTAGTAATTCATTTATGGGGCAATGTATACGCTTTTACAACAGAATCCCAGAACATGTTCAAAGTTTGTCAATAAACAAGTTTAAAAGTTTTATTAAAGAAAAACTGTACAAAAAGGGTTATTATAATATCAAGGAATACATGAATGAAAATAACCCCTGGGAATAAGGTGATCGCCACCATGCTGGTTCTATGAAAATTCATTTAAAATTGTATAAACAAAATTATTGTTAAGTGAAATTATGTTTAAAAAAAAAGTCCCGCTGGGTTTCTTGCTGGTTCTTCCCAGGACAGAGGTATTTTCCGAACCAGTGGTAAATAAAATAATGACTTTCAATAAGTATTATGTAATAATCCATATTGAATAAAAATCATTCTATTCTATTCTATTCTATTCATACTATTCGAAGGTTATAAGGGGGCAATAAGGGGGACTTTATCCCACTTCTGATGTAGAAAGGGTAATTGAGTATAGTACAGAGACTAATTTTGTAGTTAGGAATAATAATTAATTCGTTTACACGAATTAATTATCCAACGGGTCGAGGACAAACTAGTAACGGAATACGACAAGCGTACTGTTCCACGTCAGAGCCAAGACTGCTTTAACGGCGGCCGCTCCGTTCATTTTATACAAGCAAAACGGGCGCCACCGCAGGTGTAATGGTGCAGGTGTGCGGAACACGTGTTATTATAAGAATTCTGTCTAGCTACACCAACGGCGCCGCACGTGCAATGGTGCTGGTGCCGTCATATATTCCAAACACTTCAGACTTGACGCTTAATCTGATTCTTCCACGACTGTTACTGGTCCCTCTAGCTCATCATTAAAAGATGATGATGATGATGATGCATGATGATGAAGAACCTCTTCTATAGTGCCTTCATAGACATTTAGAAGATATTTTTTATTGACGAATGATGAATAAATTATGTTCTTCTACTTCGTTGATCAATATAGTTGTTAGTCAAATATTTCGTTTTAATTTGTGAAATATTAATAAAAATAAACAGACATAATACATCTTTTTCTTAGACCATTTAAACCAATGTCTAAAAACTAAGATTTTTTTAAATTTGATCTTTTCTGCATTTACTTACAAGAAACTGCTTTAAATTTTATACTGTTAAAATTAAATTTTTTTAGGTTGATTAAGGTTTAAAAAAAGCCTTTATAGGCTACCTGATATTACAGTAGGCGATTTTAGGCTACTTTACAAAAAAAGTAGGCGAAGTTAGGCTACTTGGCGTCAAATTTTTGGCGACTTGGAGCGGTCTAGTTGTTAGTAATATATAATGTACTCTGTGGTCTGTGGGTCTAGTCTTGGCCTTGGGGAGTTTTGGCAGGAACTTGACCGGCGGCGGTTTGCTGCTGTTTTATTGTTTAAATAATGGTTTGAAGTGGACTTTGATATGTAAAAGTGGTGCGATTTTGTGTATTAAGTGTCTGCGCATGTGAACTATTAGTGGAAACTGTGAAACAAGTGTTCTGATAGTGATGTTTCTCAAAATAAGGTGCCTGTCTGCTTAGGCGCCTTGAGATACTATCGCCAACCGTCAGCTGTCTGCTGGCTCAAGTTACCGTCAAAATCCCTCAAGGGCTGCACAATGTGATGCATCAACATATTGTGAAGCAGTATACTATGAAGAATAATGATTATAATATAATATTGTAACTTAAGGCTCAGAAGGGCTAGATCCCAGAGCCATAAAGCCAGTTAAGAAGAAGAAGAATCTTGGCCTTGGCAATGGCAACACTGCTAATCAACTGGAGTTTTCGGTTTTCAACTTGCTACATATTTATTTATCTATGGTTTTCAATGGTGGATTAAACCAAATCACTACTTGTGTTTTAGTTAAAAAAATTAATTAATTACAATTAATATACACAATATTTCCACTTTTACTTTGTTAAACATTATTGTGCTATCATATATTACACTAAGAAAATGAGTACTGCCACCGCAACACCACTTTTCGCTTGCTCTCGTTGTTTCTCAAGACATCCTTTTGAAGAATTATCTCCAGGCGAACAACTATGTAAAGTAGGTATTATGTATGTAGCTAGCAAAGCTGCATTAAAAAACGTTAAACCCATGTTATTTGTTGCATAAAGTACGTTTACTGTTATTTGACGTCATAACATGACGCAGACATCTCTTGATTTTTCAGGAATGTCGCGGATCTTTTCCTGTTGTCAAGTGTACCTATTGTCGTTCCGAATTTCAACAAACAAGGTCAGTGCCAACCGTTTAGCCAAGGAAAGAATATATTACTTATTTAGCATCTTATACAAGCTTTCCTTTGCCTCAAACATAGTCTTAAAATAATTTCGCAACCAAATACTTCTTGTATGTGTAGCTTAGCGTTCCTGCTGGTGTAGTTTATTCAATATTTGGCTCTAAAGTTAACAAACAAGATAAAAATATATTGGCAACTGTTTTTTTTTTATGGAATCTATAATGAATTATGAACTGTGGCTATAATGAACTATGCAACTGTTTGTGAGGAGAATTGGGAACAGTTACACAAAGAATTTACCAATGTTTTTAGTATTTGTAATACAAAATGTACCGTGTAACTAGGGACTACATCATAAGATACATTTTTTTTATATAAAACCTATGTGCTTTTTTAATTTTAATAAATTATTTCAATTGGCTTAATTTGGATGAACTGTTTACATGACTAAAAATTGATTATTTAGGCTCCAGCCTTAGTTTTTAAGAAATAGCAATTATCCTCAATTTTATGAATGAAACAGACCTGGTTTTTTATGAAGTGTAACTAACCATTTTACCCTTCTATGACAGCACAATCACCTGAATGCTTTAATCTGATTGTTTATTATTAAGACTACTTCAGGAGTAAGTTAATTCGACAACAAAACCTATAATATTATTACACATTTATTTAATGTTTAATAAACTACAGCAAATGGTACGACTTTCCATTGATTCCCATCGAGTTGGGGGTTGATACGTATTTTTACAGAAAAGTTACACTATTATAAGCACACACACAAAGTTACATTATGCGGAAGCGCGTAATTTTTGAGAAAAAAGTTATTGAAAATCAGTTATTCTTGCATTGTTTATGTATTATCCTACAATAAAACTCACACCATTTTTTTATTGTTATTGTCAGTAGGGATGTCGATTCTTTCCGAAAAAGATCGTTTTTTTAAATAGATTCGAAAAGCTGATGTATCGATTCCCAAAAAATCGATTTCTAAAATATCTATATTTTTTTCATGTTTATATTTATAATGTAAATATAAATCCATTTTATGAGAAAGAAAATCCCCTTCATCATAAAATATAGGGGGACTGATTCAGAAGGATTTCTGTATCTATTTTGAGACTGCTACGTCTCCAGCGCTGCGGGAAGAGCAGCCTCTACTCCCCCTACGCGCCTCCGGCTCTTTAAAACCATTCTAGGGGTAGGACAGACTCGTACCAGGTGGAGTCGGGGTCGATCAATTCGGTTCTTTGACATAAGTTGAACCTAACCTATTTTATTTGTTATCTGCCCTAATTGGTACTGTTAAAATAAAACAAAATTCAATAAGAGATCATTTATTAAGATATCTTTCTTGTTTTTCATAAAATGGAATTATATTTACATTATAAATGCAAACATAAAAAAATATAGATATTTTAGAAATCAATTTTTTATGAATCGATACATCAGCTTACGATTTGAATCGATTTAAAAATCTACCCTTTTCGGAAAGAATCAACATCCCTACTGACGACAATGACATTACAAAATGGTGTCAGTTTTATGGTAGGATTAGATATAAACAATGCAAGAATAATTGATTTTCAATAACTTTTTTCTCAAAAATTACGCATTTCCGCATGTTGTAACTTTGTGTGTGTGCTTATAATAGTGTAACTTTTCTGTAAAAATACGTATCAACCCCCAACTCGACGGGAGTCAATGGAAAGCTAAGCCCAGCAAATTATTTTTTAAACATTTAGGCACCATAATTTTCTATCACATGTAGCCAACAACAGTGACAAAAGGGCTTCCATGTATTTTTAAGCTTTTGTTAAAAAAGGTGGATAGATCACTTTTAGGTTATTCTTTATTTATTGTTTTTAATTTTTTAAATAATGAGCTAGAGAGAATTTAATTGGTGATAGTCTGAGGACACACTATGTGGAAAATACAGTGGGGGAATGACAGCTTAGCTAAGTGAAAGTATTTTTATGAGTTGCTTTTGTTGGGCTGTATTGCTGCTGTATGGCTGCTCGTTTCGTTAGTTTTAAATCTAAACTGCTGATGCTTATGTGAAAAACGAATGTACATAACTCAATTTACATTCCTCCTGATATAATCCTGCAGCCATCTTTAGTAATTTTTTTTAAACTAAAGTGACAAATGAACATTACAGTTTTATAGTTCACCTGATGGTAAATGGTTACTGTAGCCCATGGACACATGGACAGATGGCTGTAGATGTGTTATAACTTCTAAGGACTAAGATGGACTGCCTCACAGCCTGTAACTCTACTTGCTATTTATATCCTTCAGTGTAAGCACTGCTATTTGGCAACAAAAATAGGCAGAGGGACCTATCCTAGGTGTCCTTCTGTATAGGTCAGAACTCCTGTTCTACCACACAGTAAAACAAAGGATGAAAAGTGAGGTTGTAGATGGCAGATAATCCATGCACACATTCGCTCTTTTGTGAAGTTGACATGATGTTAGATCATATAGGAACCTGACTGAATATTTCTACGATTGACTTTCCTAAAATGTGAAGTTATTTTCTATTGCCACATGAGAGCACTGTAGTTGCTCAGCCAAAGTAAAGCAAATCTGGTATCTATATGAGCCTTTTTATTTCTTCCATGTTTATTGCAGGATGTGTAGGAGGTAAAAAATTAACTGCTTAAGAAATATTATTTTAATGTTTTTGTTTTATGTATTAACAAGCCCAAATTATTCAATTCAATCTGTTTGTGAACTAGTTTCATGTAAAAATGAAGAATTTATTAGCTGCTAATCTAATGTTTAATTGAATGTTATTGTTCTAAGATCAAATTTTTTTTTGTTATGTTATATATAATGTCATAATATATAATGAATTGAAATAAGCTGAGTTACTTGTAAATAAAAAAATACCTTTATTTTCTATAATTAATCATAATGTACAATTAATGTCATCATTTTAGTACATAAAAATAATAATATGTAATTTTCATTATTGATAATGCTATTAGATAAATATCTCAGCATAATTAAACCTTTGGCTCCAGTCAAAAACTATTATTCGATCAGGCACTAATACTTACCGTTACCGCATATTAAAGTTGGCAACTGCACATTTTTATTTTTAGTAGTTATTTGGAAGATGCTTCTGCCCATCTCCTAGTTTGTTTCCCTCTGTCGCCTCTTACGAGACCCACGGAATGATATTAGGCAGTGGATATTCTTAAACTTACTTTAATAGTATTTGTTCTAAATTTTATTAACATTTATGACTATAGCTAGAAATCATGATATATAATGTCATAATATATATATACCAATATGGTCAAAAAGATGCAAATAAAAAGAGGAGTTTCAGAACTGTCCCTTAATTATGAATTCATATTGTACGAATTTTCATTATTTACGCCAAATTGAAAATTTGATGGTGTCTTTGCATGTATACTGGCACAATAATATTCCCTGTGCATTTTATTGTTTTATTGCCATCTATTTTACTGTTATTTATTGTGTTTTTTCTTCCTTTAATTGTTAAATATCTTACAGCAAGTCAAACACATCATCCATTTGTAAAAAATGTGAGGCTAATGTAAAAGCATATGGGAAACCTACAGCATGTGAATACTGTAACATTATTGCAGCATTTATTGGTAAGTATTATGTATCCCCACCCTGCCCCAATATAATTAAATAAACATAAGCATAACAGATGAATGAAAGAGATGCTTCCAAACAGTCTTATGAAGACTATATTGGAGCCGCTATTTGGATTCCTAAGTTCAAAATCATTCTTAACTTTAAATGTCCCTCACTATCCCCCACTTTCACTGGTGAAGCAACTGCAATCAGTGAAGCTCTGTTACATGTTGCGTCACATAATCTTAATAAAACAGTTATTTTCACAGATTTTATCCAATCAATTCCATAACAAACATAAATTTCCACTAATTCTTAAAATTAAAAATACCCTATTCAGGTGCTATCTTAAAGGAATCCATGTTTCAGTAGCCTGGATCCCTGGCCTCAGTGGTATCTATGGAAATGAAACAGCTGATGTACTCGCTAAAAATGCAATTGCTAAGGGTATTCTACAAAATTTAATTTACTCACATGACTTAATTTTGCTAGCTAAAAAGATACTAAATGAAAATTGGAATAAACTGTGGGAAGTATCCAAAAATATTAAGGGTAAGCACTATGCTGCCATCCAAGAGGTTATTCCTCCCAAGCCTTGGTTTTAACAAAGCAAATATACATGCAACTTCAATCATCTGTAGATTGAAAATTGGACATGCTTGTACACATTTACATCTGGCCAAAATCAGAGTTAGGGATAGCTCATTGTGTGAATGTGGCTTAGATGAAGGTTCCACAAACCATATTTTTTTCAACTATCCCAAACTATCCTCCTCCCTTTATGATTACCTTCCTCCTTATATTCCTCGACCTATAGATTTTAATTCTCTTTTAACATATACAAGTACTCCTTTTGTGTATATTTTATGTGATTTTATTAATACTAATAACATGAAACTTTAAATCCTTGTCACTTTTAACATTCTAATAAGATTCTAATACATGTGTTTGTCATTTGGTCTAGGTAATTCAACAGATAGATTTGTCAAAATTCTAGGAGGAAAACTAGATCATTGTATTATCACAGACTCTTATTTTAATTAAACTCATAAGCTTTCATATTCCACTCAATACGTCATTGGCGAATTTTAGCAAACCGCCACAAAAGTAAAGGAAAGGAAACATAAGCATAATCCTATGGAGGAAGTGAGTGGAGTGAGAGTGAGAGAAGAATGCATAAAATCTCTTGTTCTCTACAGCCCTTTGAAATTTCACTACTGAACTAGGAACTCTTTTGTAGGAAGATTGGCGAGCGCAGTAATAAGCGTATCGCACCTCAACTTGGGCGTTTTCTTGAATCCAATGCCAACAGCCTCAAAGTAACTTACCCTATGAATGTGCTTCATGCTTGAATACCTTCTTATCTATATACAAATAAATAAAATTGAAGTGTCTGTTTGTAATGTCAATATAACAGCTTTTTACTAAATGCATATGAAACTACATACGGTACTTATAACAAAAACACAATTTTTAAAATTTTTGTTTGTCTGTCCGTTTGTTCTGGCTAATCTCTGAAACGGCTGGACTAATTTTGACGTGACTTTCACTGGCAGATAGCTAATGTTATAAGGAGTAACTTAGGCTACTTTTATATTAGAAAAAAATTTTTTTTTTTTTTTTTTTTTTTTTTATAGAATAGGGGGCAAACGAGCATGCGGCTCACCTGATGTTAAGTGACTACCGCCGCCCATGAACAACCGCAACACCAGGGGAATTGCAGATGCGTTGCCGGCCTTTTAGAAAGGTGTAAGCTCTTTTCTTGAAGGTTCCTAAGTCGTATCGGTTCGGAAAATTCGCTGGTGGTAATTGATTCCACAAAGAAGTTGTGCGAGGGAGAAAACTAAAATTTAGGGTTCCGCGCAAAAAAAATAAAAGCAAAGTATACGCGAGCGAAGTCGCGAGGTACAGCTAGTCGTCTATAAAGCTCAAGTATGGAATTACATAGAGTGCTGCTGTCACATATGAGCTGGTACTGCCAAATGCCACTTAGCAACATTGAATTCTGTGGAAAATCAGGCTAAGAGACTTTTTGGTGAACTTGATTTAGTTGATGTAGAGAGTTTCAAACACTGGTGCAGAGTAAACAACCTGTCAGACATAGAAATAGGATGTATTCCGGTGTGCACAGGAAGTACATCATTTAATTCATACTCCTCCTCCTTTCCACCATTGGACAACTAGACGGTTAGTGGGTCTTGTTTTTTAGGGTTCCGTACCTCAAAAGAAAAAAACGGAACCCTTATGGGATCACTTTGTTGTCCATCTTGTCCATCTGTCTGTCTGTTTGTCAAGACCCTTTTTCTCAGGAACGTGTGAAGGTATCAAGCTGAAATTCATATCAAATACTCAAGTCTACTGTCTCTTGGAGCTGTGATAAAATCAAACTTCTAGGCCAACGTAATCAAAAGATACAGCCGTTTATGCCGTAAATTTTCGACATTCGCAAGGGAATCAAAACCTACAGGGTACTTCCCGTGAACTCAGAATCTTAAAATTTGGTACGAAGCAATGTATTATAGCACAGATAAAGGAAAAATTGCAAAAAGCATAACTTACCACCAGGTGAGCTGGTGGTTCAAGCACTAACTTTGATGCTGCTCCCCATCATCAGTCTAGTTATTTTATGTTTGGCGTAAATCAAATTTCTGATAAAACATCATAGTCATAGCAATAGTAAATAGTGATAAATTTAAATTGGTTTTTCTATTAACTTGTTTATGTATTTTTAGGAAATAAATGCCAACGTTGCGCTAATTCTGAACGCAAGTATGGACCAGCAGTAACATGTGAGCAGTGTAAGCAGCGTTGCGCATTTGATCGCCATGATGATAGTAAAAAGGTATGTTTGTATAATGCAGGTTTCTGGTTCGAAAAGAGAAGCACTTTTGCTATATGAATTTTACACTATTTATAATGTACATTAAAAAAAAACAGTTAAAGAATACGTATCGAAATTTTTCTGTTTTATTAATGGCCATAAAAAAATGACTAGCTTGCAACAATGCGGAGCGTGCGGCGGAGAAAACCACACGTGTTTGTATTACAGAGTACTGAGTGGCTCTCAAAATGTAAATCGAACTCGCCGCATGCCCCGCTGAACCCTCTCCAATCAGGCCATTGTACCCTCAAATTCATCAACTCTCCTTTTGAACGGACTATTTTACCCTACCTATTTTACCATTATCCTATAAAAAAAAAATCTGCCGACTTCCAAAAAGGAGACGGTACTCAATTCAACTGTATGTTTTTTTTTATGTGTGTTACTTCGATAACTTTTTACTGGGTTAATCGATTTCGATAATTCTCGTGTGGTCCCATATGAATTTTGATCAAGGTCAGACCAATAGTTTTTGAGTTATTCTTAATAACTTATATTGAAGTCGGCTGTACAAAATTTTTAATTTTAAATGATTGAAAATTGTTTGATATTAACACTTGAATTTATTTTTTCATTAATTAAACTTAGCCGTGGTAGCTCAGGAGCTAAGCACTTAACTGTAAGTTTAACAGTATGCGACCAACCCGGGATCGGTCCTCACCGGCACCAATTAAATAGTTCATTTCAATTTTAAGTGCTGATTTAACACATGCTGTTTCACATTCTAAGATAGATTGGTTCTAACTCGGTTAAGCTAAATTATTCGGCTACCACTATAATATAAGTGTAGCGTAGCTCTACTAACCGTAAATAAAGGTCCGTTTGATCTTATGTATCACATTATGTAATACTAAAGTATTATTTTCTTTATTGGATTACAGGTTGACGGGAAGTTACTCTGTTGGTTATGCACTCAGTCATTAAAGCGAGCTCTAGCCCGGACAAAACAGCACATGTCTTCTGTTGATAAACATAAACATCGCGCACACAAGTCAGTTGTCGTCAATTTGTTTTTTACATTATATGCAATAAATAATTGCTTGACGTTTTATACATTTTCTTACTAATTTAAAACTGTTTCGTATTAGTATTTTAATTGCATTGTAGTAGCATAGTTGCTTATATTTTAAAATGGATAAGTTTGCTTGCAACTCACAGGTCAAAGAGCAGTCATAAAGAAAAACGGAAGTCTGACATGATGAAATCCATCAATGCTAGTGATTCCTCGTTAAATGAGTCTCAGCCTTTAGAGAAGAAGTCAAAGTTAAATCCATTGCAGGGTTAGTATAGTTAATAATAGATTTTAACCCTTTTTATTTTAATAATTGCATAATATGATAACTGCCTTTTTTGATAGGTGAACTAGATCCGAACAGCTCAGACCACGTAGTTGCGATGACTCAACTAAAAGAGACAATTGCTAGTTTGCAAAAGAAAGTACAACAAAAGGAAATGGAATTATTGTCTAAAGACAAATTGGTAAATATAAATAATTTTTTTTATAATAATATTAAATAAAAACATGAATTTTCTTCCAGCGTGAGTCCATTATATTTCTCCCATAATTGCAATGTTTGGCAACCATATTGGTAAATGCAGTTTTTTATTATTTTAAGTTGTCAGGAAGGTTTCAGTTGCTCGCAGTCACCTCTTAAAACACCTACGGGATAATATGGATATTAAAAGGCATGGAAAAAGAAAATACATGCTCTAAATATAAAATTTATTGGAATTTAGAATTTCAAACCAATAGCTGTGAAAAGTGACCAGTTCAACAAAATGGAAATTTCATAGGTAAATAGTAAGCACCTTATGTGTGTTAGTTTAGTGCCAAAAACAATCAAAAAAATCTGGAACCAATAGCTAGCATTTTTTTTGAGTCATTAATAAATTTTATATTTACACTACAAAAAGTCCAGAGTGAATTCCGGATGAAATATGTTATCCCACCTACCGGAAAGGGCAGAATAATATATACCGGACTGGCTAGTATCTATATAGTAATTAAATTATTAATAGTCTGAAGAAGAACAACAAATGAATGTTGGATTTTTGTTTGATATTGAATACAGTTATTTAACCTATTGAGATGTCGGGGTTAGTGACTGTCGATTTATAGTGTTAACTAGCTGTTCCCCGCGACTTCGCCCGCGTGGAATTATTTTTCGCGGAACTCTAAAATAAAAGGAGCCCAAGTTACTCCTTATAACATCAGCTATCTGCCAGTGTGTATAAATATTGACAAATATTGACATTAATATTTACACGATACTAACGTCAAATTGTTTTGCCTTCCTGGAACCCTTCCACTAACACTTAAACTTTATGGTATGGTATTAAAGTTCAAATTGACTTTTAAGTGTTATTACGAATCTTTTGTATGGGAATATAGAAAAGTGTTGTTTTTAGACTTTTTCAGGCAATTATTTAAAATTTTCTCTCCGTAAGAACCATACACCGTATTTTAAGGAATATTATAAAAAATAATTAACGAAATCGGTTCAGCTGCTCTCAAGATTTGCGCTTAGCAACACATTCAGCGATTCATTTTTATATTATAGATGTGCGGATTGAATATTTTTGAATATATATTTTAAACATAAATGCGCACATATTATCCACACATTACATTCACTACACATAAATGGAATGAATGTACTCTAAATTTTGTATTAAATTCGGTAAAAATCTTTTGATATATACTTAAAGTGGGACTTCTCAAATACATTTTGAAAAAAAAAAGCGATCGAATGATATCTAGAATGTGATTTTGGGCGAGGTTAAAATAATTTCAGCATTTGAAAAATAGAGGAATTACAAGGAATTTGTGAAAACTGTTAAAGAACTTGTATTTAAAGTCCATCTAGAAGCTGCTTAACTCCGTCCTTTAAGTCGCGAAATTGTATAGCAGGAACGTGTTGATCTTGTGTTCTCTTTGGGATTCTTCAAGCAGATGCTTTTGATTAAGTCGAAGTTTTGGTGGTCTCATTTTTCCTTCACAGTCTTGAGTTAGTTGATATATTTAAATGCTAAAGTACGGGTGCTAAGTAAGACGCAGAGTATTAACGTCCGCTGGAACGAATTTCGGGCACGGCGGCCAGTCGTAACGGAAAATAGCTATCTGCATAGGACAGGATTATATTGCTTGAGGGGGTGCTCTCTCTACTTCTTCACTCTGATGTCTTCTCAGTCCGATGGGACGGCAATATGCCAGGTTTACCGTCCCATCGGACTATGCGAGTGAGGGAATAGAGAGTGCATCTGTACTTGCGCATACAAACACAGATGAAATCCAATTTATATTAATTATTTTAGATTACGGAGTTGAAAGCTCAGCATCACAACAACACAACGGAACTACGTAACGAAATGAAGAACAAAGAACGAATGAATGAGACAAAATTCACTTTGATGAACACAAAGATACAGAATTTACTAAAAGAAGTGGCAACACTCAGCAAATCGGCAAAGAAAAACAACAAGAACCCAAAATCTGTGCTAGCGAACGCGGAGAACAGCGGTAGTGGAACAGACAGCCCTAGCACTAACTAGAACAATTTCATGATTACTTATTAGTTTAGTCTCATCGTTTCTCAGACTAAAGACTCGATCCCCCATTCGCTCCAGTTATAGTACAATACTGTAACAGAACCTTGTATTATTATAATAATATTATGAGGGATTATTAACATTGTGTAATATTTGAATCAACTGAAACTTTAACTATATTTCTATGACATTATAATGTGCATAGACAGTTATAATCTATTCATTTACATATGTGTTCTCATTTTTTTAATAGTAATTAAAAAAGAGACTAAGCAAATGCATGTTTTTTAAATCGATTTTTCTTTTAAAAGAAATGCTTTGTTTGTTAATGAGTTGTTAAAGAGTAGAAATTATCAAATTTGAAATTTGTATTAATCTGTGTTCATGTAGGTACTTATCTAAGTTAAAGTTTTCTGTATTTTTTTGGGGTTCGCACGGTATGAAGTTTGAGAAACGATTGTTTTAGTGATATCAAACAGTGGAAAATATTTTCCCCTTATTTTTTTATTCTACAAATGGTTTCATTTGTAGACGTTTATTAAATTTAATCGTAAGTAGATTGCAATTTGATGATGACATTTTATGTTTGATTGAGAGCAGTGTTTTTGAATTAGGTGCTGAATAATTTATTCAGTAGGAAAGTTACAGCCTAGTTTTCATAAGATGGAAACTCATGCGACTTGAAGGTATTAGATCAAAAATCAATTTTCACTAAAATCATTCTGAGATTACAATTTCTTGTTCTTATATTATATTATTTTCTAATCTTAATTTGAATTCAATATTGATATGCATCTGATTCGTACTTATTTTCTTTGAAATTTATAAGAGAGAGAGAGAGAGAGAACACGTAAAAATGTTTCAAGTGGTGCATAAATACTTAATCTGGAGATTTTTTATAATAACAATTTGTGCCTGGCTTGCGTTGCAATAGACCATTGGTATAACGCATAGAGGACGAACAAACAAATCAATTTTAATTTTTTTTGGTCAAACTTTTGGGGCGTGCACGCAACAACTCACACACACTTTCATCGTAGTTAGATAATGGCATAGAAGATCAACAAAGAAACAAAAATATTCATTTTATATATTTTATCGCAACAAGACGAGAAGTTACCGAGTATTTACATTAAATAATTTAATGTAAGTAGTTGGTAACTTCTCGTATCCCGTTGATTCAATTATTGAATCAACTCAATGGCTTTACACGATTTTGATTTCGAGTTTTGCGAATCATTTTTTTTATTTCTTTTCAATCATTACAAAATAAAGGTTTCAAATGTCTGTAAGCCATATTGGTTATTATGTTATACTAGAGCAAAAAGTAGTATGTGGTGAGTTTAGCATATCAATGTAATATTCTTTTTTAATTAACTTTAGTATGTATGGAAGCGTACGGAATAATCAATAAACCAAATAAAATAAGTTTGTGTATTATTTTTAAGTGACTATATAATTTATTCGATAAATAGATACAAAACTCGAAAGTTATTAAAAAATGTAGAAAATATAACACTTTGATTACAAAGAATGTAACATCGCTTGCTTTCATTAATAGGAATGACCTGATTAATCGGTTGCGAAGTATAAGCATTGAGAACAATCTAAAGGGCATGTCGTCATCCCAATCAGGAACACGCTACATAACTTGAATATTTTTTATTATCCAGGTAATTTGTAATAATCTGGCCCTCGTATAATATTAGATTTGAGAAACATTTGCTGTCATCAAAAATTTCATCAGAGACCTGAAGGTTAGTCACATTTGTTACAGTAATCGTTTTCAAGGTTGTTATTATTTTTTCATTTTGCTAAAGGAGTAAGTATGCTGTTTGTGTGCATATAAAGTCTCAATTTAAAATCTTCGAATTTGTTACCTTTTAACATACTCTGTGCAAAGTGAAATTTTAGCTTTTTACCGCCAAATATCTAGACGTCTTTATGTATAATTTAATTCATATAAAACAAATACACGATCTTTCAACCATACGCTGTATGTCAATGTCGTACAAAACATGTTCCGTTAGAGGCCACAGGTCAGTGATGACAACGCGTCACGATTCATACAGTTTCTGCGAACACCGATTGCGAAGATTTTGTATGACATTGCTGTGGTTTCCGTATGATATTTAAATTGGTGTATTTGTTATATTTTGTTAGATAAATATTGATGCAAAAAGTGCAACATTACTTTGGCATTTATATGATTTATTTCAACAAAATTAACAATGCCAGAGCTAAACTAAACAATGTAACGGCCCTAAGTTGATTTTTATGATAGTCTCTTATTTAAAAAAGAAATTTAAAATTGTTATTTCGGTAAAATGTTGAAATATGACAATGAATCAAAACATTACTTATCTTATTCCATTATGTTGATGAGAGTAATTTTAGTGGAAGTGTAAAGAAAGTGTAATAAATACTGTGAAAGACAACATTTTTAATTTATTGAAAATCCAAGAAATTACCTAAATATTCCTATTTGACAATAATAGCAGATTCACGTTTTGTAAGCAATTTATCGCTTTAAAGTAAGGTGCTTAGCGGTAAAATAGATTATTTCAGAGTAACAAAAAATACTTTAATTGGTTAAGTTGTACGTGATTATTTGAATCATGTAGAGCTCGAACGATGGAAATCCCAAATAAAGTCGAATTACGAAGTAACGTTTAACCACGCAGCAGCTATATTAGGACTGCAGAACGAATGGGTCGCCTCTCCTTGGGAAGGACCATGGTCTCACAAAATCCTAGTGTCAAATAGCTGCTGCTGTGTTTCGTATGGTGAGTGAGAATAATCTGATGTGCTACCCCTGACGATTAAGATAGAATGCCTCGTTACCATTAAAATGATCTCAGATTATTCTTACTCACGTAACCTGCCCGTTTAGTGGCGGGACAGAATACTCACTACCCCATGTCTTCCCGTGGGTGTCGTAAGAGGCGACAGAGGGAAACTGAGGCAGAGGATAGGCAGCAGCATCTTTCTTATAATAACAAAACAGCAATAAAAAAACTGTGGTTGCCAACCCGCTTGCCAAGCGTGGCAACTATGGCAATATACCCCTCATGAGAGTAACGAAGATACGGCCCCCAGTCCCCGGCGGCCCCGCTATTCCTGGCTACGGTGGCGACCATGGTAACGGCGGGGCAGGGGATGTTAAGAATCTCCGGTGGAGGTTCGGTTGCCACCTATGACGACTCGACCTGGCAACTTATAACGCACGCACCCTGAGGACTGACGAGAAGATCCTGGAGCTGGAAGGAGAGATAGACAAGTTGCGCTGGAATATCATAGGATTATCCGAGATCCGAAGAAAGGGGGAGAACACGGTAATACTCGAATCCGGCAACTAGTTCTATCTCCGGGAGGGCGACCATCTGTCCTAAGGAGGTGTCGGATTTATCGTCCACAAGTCTCGTTAACAACGTTGTTAGATTGGGAGTGTGTCGACTCCGGTATTCGCTGAAGGTCATACAGGTTTACGCACCAACCTCGGCACACGCCGATGAGGAGGTGGAGAAAATGTATGAGGATATGTCTAGAGCCATGCATTCCTCCAAAACCCACTATACGGTGTTAATGGGAGACTTCAATGCAAAACTAGGCACAAGCGAGAACGGTGAGCTGAAAGTAGGAAAATTCGGAATAGGGCAACGGAACCCAAGGGGCCAGCAGCTGGCCGACTTCATGGAGAAAGAGGGACTCTTTATGATGAACTCTTTCTTCCAGAAGCGGCCCCACAGGAAGTGGACCTGGTCGAGCCCCGACGGTTCGACAAAAAATGAGATTGACTTCATTATACCGACCAGATGACAACTGTTCAGTGATGTCTCAGTGATCGCGAGGATGAAAACCGGCAGCGATCACCGAATGGTGAGAGGCACACTGAACCTAAACGTTACGTTGGAGAGGTCACATCTAATGAAGTCAACGCTTCGTCCCCCTCGTGCTCTAATCCAAAGTCCCGAAACCTTTAAGCTCGAGCTACGAAACCGTTTTCAATGCAGTGGACGATATGGATGACAAGCTCGTGGAAATGCGTGGAAATCGTCCATGCGGTCGGAGCTAAGTTTTGTAAGACCCGCCGGAGAAGAACACAAAAACTCTCCGATCACACTCTTAATCTCATGGCTGTTAGACGGGATATGAAGCTGCAGTCTTCAGTAGATTTGACACCATACAGGCAACTGAACAGACAGATCTCCAAATGCATGCGGCAGGACTTACGCAACTTTAATACTGCTCGTATTGAAGAAGCAATCGAGCGGAACCAGGGCTCTAAAGTCTGCTAGAGATCTGTCTGCCAGAAAGAGCCAGCAGTGGCAGCGTCATTTCCGGGACACCTGAGATTTTGAGAGAGATTAGAGGTTCTATGGGCTGCTGTACACATCATCGTTGGAGCCACACGCAAGTGTGAGTCGATCCAAGAGCGAGTGCTATCCCGGACGTCAGTCTGAGCGAGATTAGAATGGCTCTCCAGCACCTTAAAAACGGCAAGGCCCCAGGTGAGGATGGAATTACTGAATATGGAATGTTGGAAAACCGGTACTTGAAGTCCTTCAGAAGCTCTTTAATTCCGTCCTCCATGGTGGCATTACACCGGAAGTGTGAAGCAGAAGTGCGGTGGTCTTGTTCTTCAAGAAAGGCGACAACGCTCTCTTGAAAAACTACAGACCGATTTCTCTTCTGAGCCGCGTCTACGTGCTGTTTTCGAGAGTCATTACGAATCGTCTCGCACGCAGACTTGACGACTTCCAGCCTCCCGAACAAGCCGGACTACATACATACCCTTCGGCAAATTGTACAGAAGTCCGAGGAGTACAATTTGCCACTATGTCTGGCGTATGTGGACTATGAGAAAGCCTTTGATTCCATCGAAATTTGGGCGGTGCTGCAGTCCCTTCAGCGGTGCCAAGTTGTGTAGTATATCGAAGTGTTGAAGTGCTTGTACAGTAGGGCTACGATGGCTATCCGAGTACAGAACCAGAGTACGAAAC